TCAGCATAAAATTTTTATCTGTCATACGAACTACCTGTAGAAATTTCCGGGTTACGGTGGTTGCTCAGTAAGCATCGGCGTGCCCCCACCGTGTGTGCTGAGCGGCCGGAACACGGCCCTGCCCTCGGAAAAGAGTTGGTCTCGGGAAGAATCGGAGCTGGAAGCCAGAATGTGGCCCCGTGCCGCAGAGACGTGTTTGGTCCACGGCAGGTGTCGAAAGTGGGGGTGGTCGTGGGAGGACGGTCACGGGGGGTGGGGCGGTGATGACCCTGGCGGGGGGCGCAGGAGGTGTTTGAACTGGACCTGGGGTCGGCGGGCTCCTTGCAGAAGCGTGAGCAGGTTTGATGCGGGTGGCGGGCTGGGCGCGGGGGTGGGAGGCAGAGTCCCGCGGGGGCAGAGGAGGAGGGGAGGGAAAGGAAACCTGGAGGGAGGGCAGGACCCGTCCAGGCACCAGTGGCAGTTTGAAGCCAGCCAGGTTTACCCTGGGAATGCCGACGGCGCTGTCCGTGAGCAGGGACTGGGGAGGGGGCGTGAGGGGAGAAGCAGGACGGGGCCCGCAGGGTCAGAGCGGGGTCAGCCCTGGCGCTGCCACCGGCCTCGGGGCCGTGGGCCACCCGCTTACCTTCGCCAGGCCCTGGTTTCCCCGTATGTAAGCTGTGAGCCTCCCCTCGGCGTTTTTTCATCTTAAAAGAGAAAACTCTGACCCCCGAGGGCGTCCAAAGCCTGAACGCAGGGAGGGAGCAGCTCACGCAGGCGCCTGAGGGTGAAGGTGGCCGCAGCCCTGCAGCCGCCGTGCGTGGGAGCCAGGGGCAGCTTCTGTTCTCGTCCGGTTGTCTTTCCTCTGCCCTTCCGCACGAGCTGTTCGTGGGACGAGAATGTTGCAGCTTCACCGAAGCTAAGCCCTTCCACCGCCACACACACACGTGTGTAAATGAAATGTCGGTTCTCGTGGGTTCTGAAAACACCTTGAGCGAAACGCCCACGATGGGGCAGCCCCGGGAGCAGCGTCCGAGTTGCACGCCGACCTGCCGGAAGGTCCCGGAAGCTGGCGGTGTCTGAGCAGAGGGGAGCCTGCCCTCGTGCACAGGTCTCACGTCCCGGAATGGCAGGAGCCCCCAGGACAGACAGTCCCCGCCTACGATGGTGTCAGCGGAGGAGGGCGCAGAAGCAACCGGCGCCTGGCGGAACCCGCGCTGGGAGCACCCATGCAGCCGTCCCGCCATCCACCGTCAGAGCAGCAGCCGGCGCCTGCACAAGAAGTTCGCCGCCGGACTCTGTTCGAGACGGCCTTTCCCAGCGGGCTGCGGGCTGATGGAGGCGTGCTGAGAACATTCCAGGCGGGCCGGGCTTCTCAGCGAGGACGTTGGCAGGTTAGGCGTGTCTGAAAACATTCCAACTTGAGATATTTCCTCCTGCGGCTGGTTTATCAGGGCGTCACCCCATCACAGACAGAGGGATGCTTGTGTTGAGGGGCCGGGGGGCTTTCTGGTTCTGCTTTTATTGTCGGCAACGCTTCCTCTCCCTGCCAAGGCCTGGCCCCCGCAGCCTCGCAGACGAAGAGCATCTCACCCACAGATCACAGAAGAGGGAAGACTCCCACTATGCGTGGTCGGGGAAGTGACATCGGTTTAACGTCACGAATGACGCTCCGTAAAAAATATCAACAGAATAATACAGAACCGATCAAACCGCGGTGAGAAGGGCAGGCCAGACGCAGCCGCCGGAGCAGCCTGTGCTGAGAGAACATGAAGTGTCATCGCGACTTTAACACCACCAGGTTCGTCTTCAGGTGACTGAACCCCCAGCGAAAAAACACAGTCGCATCAGCACCCACCTTCCCCTCTCTCCCGCCCCAGGCTTGCCTGCTGGAGGCTCAGTTTACCTTTCTCGCCACACGTTTAGGAGTTCAAGCGCAACGTGACTCGCTCCCGGTGGTTAAGATAAACGCAGGACTTACACACCTGTGGTTTACAGGAATTGAGACAATACACGACGCCTCTTTGGCAGACAATACTGGAGATGGGATTAAGCCTGCCAAGGTTCATCATTTTAGAATCCATCTTTTTTTTTTTTTTTTTTTTTTTCCTTTTTTTTTTTTTTTTTTTTTTTTTTGAGACAGAGTCTCACTCTGTTGCCTGGGTTAGAGTGAGTGCCGTGGCGTCAGCCTCGCTCACAGCAACCTCACACTCCTGGGCTCAAGCGATCCTCCTGCCTCAGCCTCACGAGTAGCTGGGACTACAGGCATGTGCCACCATGCCCGGCTAATTTTTTCTATATATATATATTAGTTGGCCGATTAATTTATTTCTATTTTTAGTAGAGACGGGGTCTCGCTCTTGCTCAGGCTGGTTTCAAACTCCTGACCTTGAGCAATCTGCCCGCCTCGGCCTCCCAGAGTGCTAGAATTACAGGCGTGAGCCACCACGCCCGGCCCATGTTTTATTAAAAGAAGCTCATTTATTGGTGATGGGTCTGGTGAAAAGAGCATTTTCCGAAGAAGAGATAGGGCCCGGAGTCGTTTTGCCGGGAACCACTGTGCGTCTGTCTGTGGGACAGGACCTCGGCCAAGCACAGGCGAAGTCGCCGCAGATACGCAGGGAAACTGCTCCTCTCCTGGAACCCCCCAGGCCGGGAACCCCCCAGGCCAGACTGTAGGCTGCGTGAGTCCATGTTTCACGAAGCTTAAACATCATATCATGCAAAAATGCTTTCCCATTAGAATATCTTTGGTACAAAAACATGTACCTGATATGCCGTGATTGTCTCAAAAGACAGTGGTTTGTGGACGGAGCCATTCGAGTTTTGCCTAATTTAGTAACTCAGGACGCTGTGCGGGGTCTTCTTCCCCACACGGAGGGTCCCAGGCTGCCTGGTGTCGGGCAAGAAGGGCAGAGGGGATGGACTCACTCACTCACTGTGGCTCAGGCAGCCATGAGGGTTCTGTTGCTAATGTGGCGTGGCGTGGCGTGGAAACAGCAGCCATCACCCGGGTCCCCCCTGAAGCAGGCTGCCTCGGTGTCCCCACCCTGGGCCAGACGGCTCCTCTCCCTGCCTTTCACACCTGCGGGCAGGGGCATCATGCTGACCACCGAAGCGAGGCACAGACCCTGCACAGACCCCCGAGTCGGACCAGCGTGGCACATGTCTGGCAGCGTTGGTGTTTGGGGCGTGGATTTGAGCTGGTTTGGCCAAAACTTCAGTAAGTCGGTGTGACAGGCTCACCCGAGGTTCCCTCCTCTTCCCGGGGAGCAGCTTCTCGCTCCCCCCCCCATCGTGTCTGTTTCCTGCCTGCCTCCCGCGTGGGCACAGGTGGGGGGGGCACAAGGGGGCGGCCCCGGATCGGGGGTGTCAGGGAGTGGAAGGTGGGGGCCGAGGCGGCCAGCGGACCCGAGGTTGGAGGTCACTGTGCGTGGCCCCTTTGCCCTGGGGGGACTGAGCACACGCGTGTGTCTCGTTGTCCCGTATGGGCGCTCTTGAGAACCTCTGTCCACGTGTGGCACGTGGCCCAGTGGACAGCCACAAGCAAAACGCCGGAGGACAAGACCGTCATTTCCCGGGGGTGCGAGATCGCCGCCGGGTCTGGTCCTTTGCGATGATTTTCCTTAAATCACAGCCGGTTCCCGGCAGAACGGATCGATAGGAAACGCATGGACAGTGCTGGCTGCTGGGTGCCTCTCAGGAAGGGGAGAATCCGGACACCGTTTGCTCACCTGTTTTTGGAGTCTCTGCTCACGGACAAGTGCCGGAAAATTACGGCTGGAACAGCCAAGGGTCAAAATGTTTGCTTCCACTGGTTCCTTGTCTGTTCAGCACCAGCGGCTGTTTAGCCCCTTGCAGGGACCAGGGCGCCCACCCCAGTGCAGCGCAGGCGGGCTCACGAAAGGTGCCAGTCCTGGGAAAAAAGACCCCTGTGTACAGGGAACCCGGAAGAGGGCGTGGGTCTGAGCTCCCGGCACTGTCGTCATGGCAGCGGTAAATAGACCCTCCCACCCGCATCTGTCCAATGCTGCGTTCATACGTGTGTGTGGTAACAGTGCCCGTATCTCACACGACAGGGTGTGCGTGCTGCGTGCATTTCGTGTTGTTGGCGCACATCGGGGAGACGAGCCCTAGTTAAATAACAGGTGTCCTGTTGGCACAGGGTGACGTGCCCATCCCTGGCTGGCAGAAGGGGTCTCTGTCCGTCTCTGTCTCTCCCCTTCTGTCCCGCTGGGACGGCCAACCAGGCTTGGCCTCCGCCGGAAGGATCTCGTGAGCGTGCAGTGTCCGTTCCTTAGGGATTTTCTAATTGACCAGTCTGACGTTATTTCCATTGCACGTGTGAGATAGTCTCCAAACTGCGCATTTCCTGTTACTCAGGTAAACAGTTTCAAGGACTCACGGTATCTGTTAGCAACTCGTGGTCCTTTCAGAAAGAGAAAAAGACAACGAAAGGCTTCTGACGCAAAAGGCCATTTAGCGAGATGTCCTCCCACGTGGAGGTCCAGGCGAAGTTTTCGGTTCACCCCTGTTTTTTAGCTCATCTACAGCTTGTTTCCTCCGTGTGGCGTGTTTCAGGCGCACCTGTTCCTCTTTGCGGCGGAGCGTGCCGTTCTCCGGCGGGCCTGGGAGCCCCAGCGGCGCAGCCGTCCGTGCCAGAGCCCCGGTTCCACTGTCCGGGCCGAGACGCAGCCCCTGTCCTCCCGAGGCGGCCAGACACCCGGGGGCCCGTGGGAGCCCTCCTCCCCCCAGAGCACGGTGCAGGGTCCCCCCGCCACCCCTGTGGCCGCCCCGTTGGCCCACTCTCTGGGCGCACACGTCTTCCGCACCCGGCTTCGGTTGGCTGCTCAGACGCCTCCCGCCCGGGCACAGCACTTCCCCAGCCGGTCGGCCCTCGCCCGAGCACACGCAGCACACGCTCGGACACGAGAAAGCCTGTGCTTCGCCGTGCGCCCCTGCCTGGCCCGTGCCCTGCCTACAGCGCTCATGCAAGCTGGCTCCTGACTCTGTTTCCCTTCCAGGCCTACATGGAGGACCACCTGAAGAACAAGAACCGGCTGGAGAAGGAGTGGGAAGCGCTGTGCGCCTACCAGGCGGAGCCCAGCAGCTCGCTCGTGGCCCAGCGGGAGGAGAACGCGCCCAAGAACCGCTCGCCGGCCGTGCTCACTTGTATGTACCCCCTCCCCCGCGCCCCGCCCCTCCCCCGCCCGCCCCGCCCCTCCCCCACTGACGGCCCCTCTGGGGACTCGGCCCAGCCCCCGCTGACACCCAGGTCCCACAGAGGGGTGCTGAGCCCTGCGGTTGGGGACGTCACACGGCAGTGAGCGTGGCTGTGCTGCCCCTGCTCCTGGCCCTGGTGACCTGGCACGACCCCGCCCACACCACGGGACCTTCCCTCTGGGGGTGGCATCGCCAGGAACGGAGACCCCAGAAGTGCATGGTCTCTGGAGGGACACGGTGGGAGGGGAGACGTGCAGGGCGGGAGGACGGGGATGCAGTGTCCTTGTGACCAAGACTGGACGGAACAGACACTCGCCGGACACTGCCTTCATGGTGTTCCGTCACTTTCTCTCCGTACCGCTGGCCGCCTTGACTCTTAGAATGAAACTTTCCTCCAGATTTCACCCCGTCCCCTACGAGGGAGGGAATGCCGCTGCTCGGACGCCGGCTGGCTGTCCAGCCTCCCGGGGGGGGGACTGCCCCTGAGCCCCCGAGCCCGCCTGACCGCACCTAGCTGCCATGCTCCTCACGGGACAGAGCCGCTCCGTGATGGAGCCACGGCGTGGCGAGGAGAACCGGCTTCCCTGGCTCCGCGTCCCCGACGGCTCCTGTCGGTTGTCACGAACGGGCAAACCGGCACTCGTTCCTGCGTGCATACGCACGCTGCACAGGGCACCTTGGTCCCTGTGGCGTCTCACTCTGCGTGTGCCCTTCAACCCTGTCTTGCACGCGTGTGCCTCAGGTTTGCGCACGTCTGTTCGAGGGGTGCTCACATCCACCCTCCCGCCCGGGCGCCCCCGCCTACGAACCCCGCTGTGAGCAGCCCCTCTCCTGGCCACCCCCGTGGGAGGAACACCCCCCCCTAAGAGAACGAGGTGGCCGCCCAACCTCCAAGATGAAGCTGAATTCACCGAGTACGTGTGCCGCGGCCCCCCTGCCTGTCCCTCCGCGCGGAGCCGTGCGCGCCCTGCCTCCCGGGGCCCGCGCCTCCCTGCCCAGGCTGGACCCGGCGTGGGGCGAGTTGTGCAGGAAATCCAAGTTGGGAGAGCCGTGGCCCCCGGGTCCCTGAGGCCTGGGGTTCCAGCCACGCCCAAATCATCTTCAGGGACGACACTCGCGAGCCGTGTGGCCGGCCCCGGGCTGGGTCTGGTCGTGTCGTCTCGGAGGCCTGAAGAACTTGACGTGCACTCTCTGAGGTTTTGCGTGTTGGAGAAAGGAGCTGTGCAGTGTTTTGCTCATCTGCTTTGTAAATTAGGAACAGGAACAGGATGCTATTTTGGTGTACGGTCTTAAACAAAAAATATTTTCGGCTCTGTGTTACGAGGGAGAGAGGTAGTCAGAGACACAGAAATGGCAACAGAGGCAGAACCAGAGGGGACCGAGACTGGGACCAGGGGATGCCAAGGCCAAGAGGGGGACGAGCCGGGCAGCGCTGGACACGCTGGCTCCCGAGGACGCTGTCCCTGCAGAGACGAGGGCTCAGCACGCGGCCAGAGGCACAGCTAGGGCCTCTCACCCTCACCTGCCGACCGCTGGGATGGGGGACGCCGCCCAGCCTGCCCAGCCCCACCCGAGTTGCACTGCGGAAGGTCATCCTGGCTGCCACCTTCCACCCTCACGAGAAACCCTGCCTGGCAGATGAGGACTCTGGGGTTTCCAGCCGGCCTGGCGGTGCCAGCGCCCACCTTCCCCGGGCTGCCTGGGACGCAGACGCCTGCTTCCGCGGACACCTCTGAGATTCTGTGTGTCGGGAAGACGCACACACAGGTCTCAGACCCCCACAGACAGACACGCGCGTGTGAACCGCAAGGACGGCAGTGCTCGGGCCAGGCACGGCTGTCCTTGAAATTCTCAGAAAACAGTGTAAATAAACCTTTGCCGTAGTGTTTTTCCTCCCGGGCCCTCAGCAGAGTCCCCCGTAAGGAATGTTATGCTCAGGCCACTTCCGAGTGACCAGAAATCACCCTGACGTGGTTTTAAAGATCGAAAGGGGAGCAGTTCTCCTAGATCCGACGAGTGAGCAAGGGCTTTCCCGCTTCCTCTCGTAGAAGAATGTTCCGCACCCGCCTGTCACGCTCTCCCGAGACGGTGCAGGGGAGAGGCTCCCGGCTGGGCAGCCGTCCTCCCCTTCTTGATCTCAGAGCCAGCCGAGCCCCCGCTGCGAGGATTCGGGGGGCTGTGGGCTTGCTGGTGTGGAAAGGAGAACGTCCCAGCAGTCTGCGCGGGCTCCTTGTCCGCTGCGCCACAGGCAGAAGCTGTCCCGGCAGCGGCTCTGCCTGGGCGCCAAGGGCTGCTTGGGGACGAGGTCCACAGTCACCCTCGTTGGGCTCTTTCTCCCGAAGGTGAGGACGGGCTCACAGTGCCGTCTCCAAACCACAGCGGCAAACGCGCCTTCTCTGAGCCGCTCGGGGCCTCCGGTGCCCAGAGCCAGAGCTGGCCGGTTTGTAAGTCGGCGCGCTGACACTCCGCACGGCTCCGCCACGCAGAGCTCAGGTTTTGTATTCTCTTTGCTCTGTCTCTTTTCTTTCTTTCATTTTTTATTTTTTGAGACAGGGGCTCGCTCTGTCGCCCAGGTAGAGTGAGTGAGTGGTGTCATCACAGCTCACTGCAACCTCAGACTCCTGGGCTCAAACGATCCTCCTGCCTCGGCCTCTCGAGTAGCTGGGACTACACGTGTGTGCCATCACACCTGGCCAATTTTTTTTTTTTTTTTGGTAGAGACAGGATCTCGCTGTGTTGCCCAGGCTGGTCTCAAACTCCCGGGCTCAAGCGATGCTCCCATCTCGGCCTCCAAATGTGCTGGGGCTGCAAGCGAGAGCCACCGCGCCCGGCCTGCTCTTTTTCTTAAAGCCGAACCAATAGATCTGTGGGACATCGAACCTCGTGTGGCACAGTTGTCCTCACCTGTCACCCTTCACGCTCCAGTTCTACTCTCAGGATCTCAGCGTCGGGGGGTCTCAGAGGGCCTGGGAATGGCCGGTCAGCCTCCCCTGGACGTGCCCTCCTGTTCCACGCCCAGAAGGGCCAAGCGCGCTGGGTGGGTGGGCGCGGTGTGAGTTCCCGCTCGCTGTGGGATGGGCAGGTCACCAAGGAGCCCCTGTGTAGGCCGCGGCCCACTGAGGTCCGGGGTCTCTCCCTGCGGACTGCGGCTGAGCCCGGCCCTGGCCTTCCACAGCCGAGTGTGTCTGTCCTGACAGAGTCCAGCTCCGCGTCCGCCCCTAGGAAACCGAGTCCTCAGGATCCGGGGGACTGGAAACCTGGCTCACCGTACCAGCTCCCCTCTCGGCTTCCTGCAACTGCTCGGCTTGTGGACGTGCTTTTGGCGTCTTCCGGTCTTGGGTGCGAACGTGTGCAGCAGGACCAACGCCGAGCACATCCTCCTCCACGCCGACCACGCCCCTCCGCTGCCTTTCGGGGCGGCTGCTCCGTGCACTGGGACTGCGCCGCGGCGGGGCCCAGGGCCAGGTGTCGGGGACACTCCCGACCTGTCCCCCTCAGCCACGGTGCCACGCGTCTCCCACACAGCGTCCCCTCACGCCCGCTGACAGCCGTGAGCGTCACACAGGACGGACCCGGAGGGGAAGGGTGGGGGGCAGGGACCCCCCAGGTGAGAGGCTCCGGGGCCGCGGCGTCTCTCCCGGCCGCTCCTCTTGAGCTGCTCACGGCGGGCCGTCTTCCCCGAGCAGAGCCGTAGCGGGCACGGTTCCCTCCACTTTTTTTTTTTTTAAGACAGAGTCCCACTCTGTTGCCCAGGCTACAGTGAGTGCCGTGGCGTCAGCCTCGCTTACAGCAACCTCAAACTCCTGGGCTCAAGCAATCCTCCTGCCTCAGCCTCCCGAGTAGCTGGGACTACAGGCATGCGCCACCACCATGCCCGGCTGATTTTTTCTATATATTTTTAGTTGGCCGATTAATTTCTTTCTATTATTTTTTAGTAAAGACAGGGTCTCGCTCTTGCTCAGGCTGGTTTCGAACTCCTGACCTTGAGCGATCCACCCGCCTCAGCCTCCCAGAGTGCCGGGATGACAGGCGTGAGCCACCGCGCCCGGCCTTTCCCACACTTTTTGTTATGAAAGTCGTGAGACTGAAGTTGGAGTGTTCGTTTGATGATCAGTCACCTACGTCCCCCACCTGCTCGACCACCCCGTAGTACGGTGCCGTGTTCGCGTGATGCACGTCTGTGCTTCACCCGTGTTTCAGGCAAACCATTTCACAGGACGATCAGGCATCATGACTTTAGAGTCCCTGAGCCTGCGTCTCCGAGAAGCGCCATGTTCTCCTCCAGCTCCACCCCACGGCTGTCCTGGGCCACGAGCAGGGTCCCACGTCCAGCGTCTGAGCTTGCCTGGGTGGCAACGAAATGGATTTATCCCCTCTCCATCTTGGTCGAGGCCCGGCAGGGAGGCCCTCAAGAGGCCTCTTCCCAGGCGTGCGGCCGCCCCTCCCGGCGCAGGGCTATGTGCAGACTCCCCTTTGCCGGGCCGGCCATACCGTCCTGACCTCGCCTTTCCCGCTGGCCTCTTCCGAGACCCGACCCCTAGGGCAGCCTCATCTGGGTCCTAGGGGCCTCGGACGTCAACATACGCATGTGGGCGCAGCTCGGCCCATGACGCCGTCCGTGCTCAGCGGTCCCTGTCATTCCCACTGTGGCTGTCACCGCGGGGGTCTGACAAGGATGCAGCCAGGGTTCATACCTGCGTTTGGTTCCTGTGTCTGTCTTTTGTCTTTCTGATGTTGGACCCGCTGCCCTGACTTTCACCCCTGACCCGGCTTGACCCCGGTGAAGCTATTTCCTCCCAGCCACCGCCGCCACCCTTCCAGACAGTCACAGACCGCACACTTGGGCACCGCCGTGGCAGGGTCCCGCCAGGCCCACAGGGGCCCGCCCGCCCGTTCTCTGAACCCATTTCCCCGAGGGACTGCGTGTCTGCATCTCCACGACACCCGGG